ATCTGGACTGGAGCTTGCTGTTTTCCTTCATCTAGAATTCTCACGCAAGTACTAGAAGAGTTTACTTATCCTTAATTTCTAAGACTGATACACATTCTTTAAAAAGCATAGCTAGACTGCCTTTGTTCTAAAAATGCATTTATATACAACACGTCTCAATAAAGATGGACTACCGTTGTCTGAAGGATTCTCATGTAATCAAGTCTCACAGTCTGAAGATATACTTCCTTTCAGGACTGTTATTTTTACCTGAAATAAACATGTTTCTTAGGGATAAAAACAAACAGGTTAGTGTCTAATCACAGTTAGTTGGACTCTCATGGTTTTACCAATTTTCACCAAAAAATCAATTTGTTTAATTTTTGTGCAGTAGTTTAATGCTGCACATATTAATGCTGAATGATGTTGGAATGTATAATTTCAATTTTATTATCCTACTATTAAATAAATAAAACTAGACTCAGAGCTATAACGACAAAAAGAGTTGCAGATCAGTACTCTCAAGATCATTAAGCATTTGTATTGATGTAATACTATTTTTAAAATAAAGTATGGAACTGAAGAAATACCTATTTCTTATTAACTTCTTAAAGCGATTTCTATTATAAAGGGAATGTTTTCCATTAGTTAGATTTTTCCTAGTTGCACATTTTCAAATTAACCTAGGGTGCAGCAGCTTGAATATTCCATCTCTCCACTTTACATTTCAACTAAAACAAACCCCCTTCCTTTTATATCAGTCAATAAAACCCATGGGTCAAGTACATATAGTTCTAATTACATGATTACTTTTTACCTGAAAGCTGACTGAAGAACATTTTCCTGGAGGGAGAAGACATTAAAGGAAACAACAAACAAACACCACCAAAAAAACAACTTCAATAACCCACGGTCTGACTGTGCATGTTCCTGACTGTTCACTTGAAGTTCATTTCAGTCATGCAGAGCTGAAAGACTGTAGGTTTGAGAATCTCAAAACCTTTCAAGACCAAATATAGCATTCTTAGCAAAACCATGGCATTATCTGCTACAGTGACTAAGTCTCAGCCAAAATCATAAAAGTCCTGTGTATGCAAGTGTGTGTGAATGGGCTCTACCGGTCCTTGTGGCTGCAGATGAAGAAATAGTAACTCAAAAACATTAGCCAACAAGAGGCAGCACACATGCAGAGGTGTACAGCACATCAAAGCTCATGGGTAAGCAAACACAAACCACCACTTCAGAGTCAGAAGCTCAGTTGTTGCTCCAGCCTTGTAACCCTAAGTGATTTTTCTGTGTGGGTGCAACTGAAGTGTGAAGGAACTGTGTGAACAGTTACCTGCTGGAAGTAAACATCTTAATTCCATTAATAACAGTTAACTAATGAAAAGTATGTTAATAAATATTATTAATATTAATCTGTAATAATTATTAATAAATAATGATTAATATAAATTAATAAATATATTCCTGTTAATGTCATTAACTTCGTGACATACTAAAACTTTTTCAATTGCACTATTTTGGTGTCTGCTTTAGGGTTTAGAAGAAACTTCTAAAGGTACCATCATAAGAAGATTTTATGTATTACCACTGTCTGCCAAAGTTATCCAGACCCTGACTTTACAGTCAGATCTGCAAAAATACAAGATGGTGAAAGTATCTGGGACACACTATTGAGCAATATTAAGGTCTACTTCAATTCCCCACCGTGCCCAGCAGGGGATGCAGATACCATGTTCAGACATGGCAATAACTGTGCTGACCTGGGCCTAACCCACACCTATCTCCAATGCCTTGGAAAGACTAATAAAATAACATACTGGTCAAATCAATACATCCCAAATTTTTCCTGCTATAATCCCAATTCCTTGACATTCATAACTTATAAATGTTAGCCTACAGTTATAAATATACCTTACCTCATGGAATATTACACCAATAGATTACTGGAGCCTCAGTCAGGCTGGCTGATGTATTAATGCAGCACGCTGTGAGAGCACCAGTTCACTCTGATGATGTACTGTGACCATATAGATCCTAAGAATAAAGCACGTCAATGATGTACAACTGTAACAAGGGTACAGAGTTGAAAAAAGCACTAGCAGGAGTAGGTTTTGTTAACATATTACTTTAGAATGTGAATATGGTATTAACAATTGGAAAAAAAGAAGGATTGATTAGTCAAACAATTAGATAAGGCTAGTTAGCACAGAGAAGAGGAAAAAAGAAACAAGAAGAAAAAAAAACCACAAAACACCACAAAAACACCCTCAAAACAAACCCCAACCAAGCAGCAAGAACCTACTGGCAACATTTTCACTCATCCTGCAAAAGCTAAATTTCATATCATTAAGATGGCCCAATATCTCAGTTAAAACTATCTGAAACTCATTTGTTTGCATGGTCACTTCCTCCTGAGTTTCAGAAAGGCTAAAAGCTTAAGGGCAGTTTGAGCTCCAAGTTTGTTTTTTACTTATAGAAAGAAAAAAAGACGAAAAAATTTAAAAATTCTCATAAGAATACACAGAACTACAAAACTCAATGTTTCCTAAGCAATGCTTCCATTAAATACAAGAATAAAGCAAGCATCGTTAATCACCTGGGCAGGTGGAACATCAGTAACACTTGAATGTAATTTTACAATAGACACTTGACACGATACCACAATATTGACTTGTAGATACAGGAAGGGGTTGAGTATTCTGACATTAATAGGTGTAGATTACTGCATAAGCATTCAGCCTCCAAATGTGTGCTGTTCATAGAGGAAAGTTAATGTGTATTAGTAGAGGAAAGAAACACAGGTAAAGAAGTTTTCTGTTTTGTTTCACTTGTGAGCTACAGAAAACAACTCTTACTAATATTTCATATTTCTACACTATGATACTTTGAGCAAGAAAGCAATACTCTCAGCAACAAAGGAAGGTCTCAAAATCAGCTGTACCCAGACGAAAAATCAATAAGGAATTTACATTTGAAGTCATAAAAAATAAATAAATATTGGTGTTCAGTTACATGATGTAGTTTTACTCTTTACAGTTTCCATGCTTAGATACACAATTCAGAAGGACCAGTTACATTCTTCCAACGTCAGCTGAATATAAAGTAATACATTTACACAAGTACAAATATATCACGTTTCTTTTCATTTTTACAGCACGAAAAGCTGAACAACTAAATAAATACACTTTAACCCTGGAGCAGACTTGCAAAAGCTTTTACAGTAACAAAGCAGTTAAGCACCATACCTCATGTCAGAAGAAAATTATTCGCTGATACAAAAATTGGTGAATATTTTTGATGGCAGCACTGTGCCACTAGACATTTTTTGACTAAGTACTATGGTATACTAGTCTTTAAGAAATACATGTGGGTTACCGGATCAGCATAATTACCCTCCTCATTTCCTCTAAATAAGGAAAGTGCAAAATCCCTGAATAACAGCATCAATTATACTTACAGTATGAAAGTTTTCAAAAGAAAATGATGGCTGACTCTACTGCAGTCTTTTTACAAAAAATAGTTCTAAGAACCTAACATGTTCTCAGAGACTGAAATTCCCAAAATGCTGAACATCTTCCCTCAGAAGGAAAGGTGACAGTTGTGAATATCTGGTTTGTAAGGTGTGCTGGGTTTGGCTGAGGTAATTTTTTTCACTATAGCTAGTATGGAACTATGGTTTGGATTTGTGCTGAACACAATAATAAAAAATAGATGGTTTTGTTATTACTGAGCAGCACCAACACAGAGCCAAGGCCTTTCCTCTTTTCATACTGCCATGTTGGTAAGGGGGCTGGGGGTGCTTGGGAAGTTGGGAGGAGACACAGCCAGGACAGGTGACCCCAACTGACCAAAGGGATATTCCATACCATTTGACATTATGCTCAGTATATAGAAAGAGAGGAAGGAGGAAAGGGAGGACATTCAGAGTGATGACATTTGTCTTACCAAGTAGGAATGATGAAGGCTCTGCTTTCCTGGGGATGGCTAAACACCTGCCTGCCCATGGGAAGCAGTGAATTGATTTCTTCTTTTGCTTTGCCCATGTGCACAGCTTTTGCTTTCCCTATTAAACTGTCTTTATCTCAACTCAGGAGGAGTTTTCTCGCTTTTACCCTTTCAATTCTCTCCCTGACCCCATTAGGTGAGACTAAGTGAGTGGCTGTGTGGGGCTGAGCTGCCAGCTGGGGTTAAACCATGATAGTTTGTTTTGGTGCCCAACATGGAGCTCAGAAGGTTTGAGATAACAACAGAATTATTGATTGGAATATGTTAGATGAAATTTATAGCCCTTATTGCTGTTTTGCTGCTTTGGGCAGGCTCTTGTGCTTGCCCTGGGCTCGATTGTATGAGAATCTGAGCTCAGTAGTGGCTGCTTTTTGCTTTCACTGCTTGTTGTGCTGCTGATCACCTCGCTCTGCTCTTCCTGGGAACATTCTGATATCAGCAGTGGTGATGCACAGGGACTGGCAGATGGCTGGGGCATGGCTGCTGTTTGTGCTGCTGCACTGGCCACGCTGGAACTCCAGTGCGAACAAAAGTCAAGGAGACTAGGACCTGTGGATGAGTCCATAGGGATATCCACCTGCAGCCCCTGGAGGATCCATGCCCAAAGGAGCAGGTGGATGCTCGAAGGAGGCTGTGACCCTGTGGGAAGCCCACACTGGAGCAGGGTCCTGGCAGGACCTGTGGAGCCATGGGAAGAGAAGCCCACGCTGGAACAGGTTTGCTGGCAGGACTTGTGACCCCATGCGGGAGCCCCGCTGGAGCAGCCTGTTCCTGTGGGACTGCACCCTGTGGAAGGGACCCACACTGGAGCAATTCATGAAGAATTGCAGCCTGTGGGAAGGACCCACAACCCCATGCTGGAGTAGAGGAGCAAGTATTCCAGCTATTGGAGCAGAGATTCCCTGCAGCCCCTGGTGAAGACCATGGGAAACAGAATTTCTTCTTTTGCTTCGCTTGCGTGTGGCTTTTGCTTTCCCTATTAAACTGTCTTTATCTCAAACCCAGGAGTTTTCTCACTTTTACCCTTCTGATTCTCCCCCACTGGTGGGGCAGTGAGGGAGCAGCTGTGCTGTGCTTAGTTTCCAGCTGGGGTCAAACCATGACAGAAACTTCGATGTACAGGAAAAATCTTTGGCTTTAGCTTACAAACTTCACTGCTCTGCTGTCAGTAAATTGTGCTCACTCCAGGCCTCCTAAAACCCAGTCTTAAAGAATAAAAATTCAAATTAACTTCCATCCTTCCTGTCAACTTGCACTGGCTTCAGCCAACAGACTAAAATTAAAGCGTTAAACAATGACTACAATAAAAAGCATAAGGAAGTAGTTGACTGGGAAAATTCTCTACAACCTCATGGGTTAACACATATTTAGAGATATGTTTCTATTCTAATATGAATAGCACTGAAAATCATTTGAGCAATCAAAAGATATCTCACTAGCAACAAACCCAACGTGAACTTACTTCACATCACGTTGAAGAGCAGCATCACTGATACACTTTAAGCCCAGATTTTTCAATGATCTACAAAACCACTTAAAAAAGCCTTTATCAAATAGGGTTGGTAAAGTACTCTTACTATCTCTCAGTTTTTCTCTACAGAAACAAATACAAAGGTTTTGCTCTGTTTAAAAAAGGTATAAAAAACCCACTTTAAGTTTGCAGTAACACTACTAGATCATAATGCAGCAAAAGTGAAGCAACAACTCAAAAAAAAAAAAAAAAAAAGAAAATTGGTTCCCACATCATTTACCTTTCAAGTGTCCAAGTTAGGAAGGCAGTCTTCTTACCTAACTGTACGCAACATAACATGTGTTATGAATGCCCTTCAAAGGAATCTCCCACACAGTCCTAAATCATGGTTTGTGATGAAGAGACGTGAATGTCCTGCCAAGCCTTTACTGTGTTTTCCAGTTGTTCCCCAGGAGTTTTAGTCTACCTGTTCATAACATCTCCAACTGATTTTTTACTTACTGCATTAAATTATTTCTTATAAACTTAGGTAATAATAGACATTTATTAAAACAAAACTAATTGTATTTTCAAGTCTGGCAGCCACTTAAGGAATTTTTTTTGGTGAAATGTAGGGTACTTATCCTCACACAAACATGTCACTTTCACATCACTCACTCACTAATATTAGTAATATTATTGTGGCATATGTTACTTTGCCTTCATGCAATAGGAAAGAGTTTCCTTTCATTTGTCGATAACATTTTATACCCACTCTATCCTACCAGGTGAAAGCTCTGGAGTTTCTGTGTGTTCTCGAGTCCCATTCCATTTCCAAGCAAATTCAACTTCACCTGTTTCAACCTGTCCTCCTTGAGTCTCAGTAGTTTCACTACAAACAGTTTGAGATTGCAGTGATGGTTGTCCTTGTTCAAGTTCAAAATTCATAATAAGGGAATCAACCAGAGAGTCCAGTTCATCCAGGTTCATAAAAGGTCGGGGTATCTTCTGGATAGGGTTGTTTGCAGAAGACAAGGCAAATAAACTGAAATAGTTGCTAAAATATCCACCTATGACAGAAATATTTTCTGCAAAGCTCCTGAGGGGGCTTGTGTTTCTGTACAACCCTATGAAGAACAGAGACAAGAAGAATCAAATGCAGCATTTTGCAAAGGCAGACCAAGTTGTCCTCCCTCTTGCTTTACAGGTCTCCTGTAGCCCACAGGTTACTATCAAGACAGGTGATAACCCAGATAAATACCTTGTAACATAGAAGAAACAATTCGACAGACTTCAGTTAGGCACTGCTCCAATTCCAAATATTTCACAGCAATCTTAGTGCTTTTCTTTATTTCTCGATACAGAGATTCTTCTCCTGGTAACTGAGATTCTATTTCTTTCTGTATTATCAAAGAACAGTTTAAAAAAAACCCAAATACATGACAATATATTAACTATTAAACATGCCTATTATGAATTCAGTCACATACAACAGGCCAATGCCAAAACACAAAATCCAACTGACACCAAGTCACACAAGTAAGATAGCACCAGAAAGAGTACAGATTGTTGACGAGGTTAAAAGAAGGCAAATGAAACTAAAATCCATAATAAACTTGGCTCTTAGGAGACAGATTAAATGATCTATCCTGGCTTTTAATTGAAAATACCAATAACTACAGCAGCAGCTATAAGTTACACTAGAATTACTGAACTTAAGGTTTTCAACTTAAAAGAAAACAAAACAGGTGCTTAGGCTTATGATGAGCATAAAATGAAGAAAGATAAAAGTACCTCCAGAAATACTTTAAGTGAAACAAAAATCAAAGAGTTTTAAGTGGAAATGTAGTAGCCAGAAAACTTAGCATCCCAATCACAGGAATGCTGCTGAGACAGGAACTGCTACCATGCAAATGTAAATATACAGAAGGTAGTTTCAATTCCTCTTCTTTGATAAATGTATTCTTCAAATTTAAATGCCAGACTCAAAGAATACACATTTTGCGAAGCATTTCTCTTACCTTTCTGCAGTAAGAGATGTTATTTTCAAGGAATCTGGCTAATGCCACAGCGTTATCCTTTATTCGATTTTGAATCTACAAAGAAACTTTTAATTATATTGTACACTTGACTGAAGTCAAAGTACATTAATATTTTAAAAGGATAAGAATGAATAATGGCACACTATTAAGAAAAATACTCTAAAGCAGAAATAATGTTTTCCGCAACATAACATGGAATTTTTCAAATGTTAACAGGCTACTTCCTTATATTTTACTCGGTATTATGTGAATCATCTAGTATCATCTACTTCACAATTTACCACCTAAGTAAATTAAAAGCACAAAAGAACAGACTGTACCTTAAAAAAACCCTCTATGATCAAGTGCCTTCAAGATATAGTAGTAGTTTTTAATCTTACTTTCATCTCACCTCATTTTGTGGACATTGTTTCAGAAGTTTTTTCTGTACCATTCTTGCTTTCTCCTGTACAGCATCAATGAGAAATTCCAGACCCAAGCCTACTCCATCATAAATGGCAAGTACAAATTCCTTTTAAAAAAAAGGTTCAAAATGCAATGATTAAAGAAACTGATTTGGTCTTAAAAATTTAAATTAAAAGAAATTTTCTGTAGTGGGCTAGAAACAATTTTGTTTTCAGCAAATTGTTCAGTGCAGGCCTATTCAGTCACCTGTCATTCTTGGACCACTGGTGCTCAGCACTGTAACCTCCTTTTCCTAACTTTGTTCAGATTTCTGAAAACTCAGTGTGGTACTTAAACACAGATTACTGAAATATAAGTATTGAATTTCAGTGAAACAGGTAGACTTGTATAATCTCAATGCAGATACAATCCTATAAGCACAGTATTTCTTTCTCTTTACAAGTGTAAGTTACACAGATTTAAAGTGAAGCTTTTAAGGGAAAAAAATGTCAAAGGTGTTAACACATCTGTTTTCACCATAAAAATGAAAGTACTATATATACTTAATATAGTTGGTGAAATTGTTATTTGTAACAATTTGCTTCTGAGCAGTTACTAAGTGCGACAGCAACATTAAAATTACTATTCATAATTACTATTTTTTTACCTGTAGACTAGATGCAGGAATATTGTTCTCTTCAGGAAATGAAATATCAGCTGTTGTGACTACTGCCAAGTGTCCAATGTATTTCATTGTCTGTTTTACTGTTTGGTTTACTTTGCTCCATGCTTCTGTTACCATTGAGGATATATCTGAAGAACATCCCTGAGAAACAAAGGCACATCGTTCACTGAAAGCACTTGTGGTCAAAGAGTACATACTTTCTGTAATGCAAGATTTTGTAGCATGCAATAGTTCAAGGAATTTTTAGCTTTACATCTTTCTAATTACAGTGACTTATCTATCAC